GGATGGATGGATGGATGCATGGATAGATGGATGGATGGGGGGATGGGTGGATGGGTGGATGGATGGATGGATGGATGGGTGGGTGGATGGATGGACGAATATATGGATGGATGGATGTATAGATGGTCAATGAATGGATGGATGGATACTGAGTCTGCCCGAAGTTCAATAATGATTCTATTGTTTATGTACATATACATGTAATTTGTAATAGATTTTCTACGCACAAACTGTATGCTTGTTATATTGAGGACTGAATATTACAGTTGGGAAATTATAACAATTCCAAACCTCGCGGGCAATGATTCACTTTCTAACTAATCTATTTCATCTTGATTGTGCAGGACAACCGTAAAGAAACAGCCTTCATATTCCAGAAAGACCAGTCAGGTAATCTTGCTACTTTCTTTTTGTCAATTCTGACACTTTAAAGAAAGACTTCATCACATCTGAGGTACGTGTGGTAGCCGTGCTCGGCGTTACAGTGGAACCTGCTCCAACGACCACCTGTACGAGACAATCATCTGTCCAAGACAATCATCTGTCCACGACAATCACCTGTGCAAGTCAATCACCTGTACAAACGGCCACCTGTATAATACAACCATCTGTACAATCGACCACCTGTCCCAGACAATCCCCTGTACAAGACGATCCCCTGTACAAGTGCTTTATCACACTGACACGGCCCAAGAGGAACACTTTTACTCCTCGACTGTAGCTGGGGCTGGTCAACTTAGACAGATTGCAGTATGGTTCTTTTTGTTGGGCTTTTGGGTTTGGGGTTTTGGGGTTTGAGGTTTGGGGTTTTGGGGTTTGGGGTTTTGGGGTTGAGGGTTTCCTGTTTAGGGGTTTTCGGACTAAAAAGCTGACTTAGCACTAAGCAAAACGTATAAATTTAGTCTTTGTTATCTTGAAAGCGATATATACTTGCACCATCCGCAACCTCCCCCCCCCCTAAAAAGACTACAACCAAAGAAACACTTCTGAAAGGGAAAGTTAGCTCAAGTCACATCAGGGTTCCAACTCAAAACTGTACGTCGGTCAGCCCTTTGAATTTAAGAAAGGAATATCGTAACGGGTGATTCTGTAACTTGTGCTGTTGACTCTTTTTGTCGTTTTATCTTGAACCATGTTATAGAAATAGCTGTTGCTTAAGTTAAACGTTGGCTGGAGGTGCACGCCATCGCTATACTTCTACACTGTGCCAGCTACTTCGGGCTGGGTTTTATTTCCATAAGATATTCAGATTCCAACAACATGGTTCGGTCGGTTGGGGAAAGGTAGAGAGATGCCAAAAAATAAATTAGGAGGGGGAAAAAAGGGGTGGGGTGGAGTTGGAGAATGGATAAACTGTTTAAACGTCACATTCTAAACGTTACAACCTTTGACCTTTCCCAGAGAGGAACAAGAACCGGCCACTGAATCCTCCACGGTACAGACCTCCCTATTACAACCGGAAGAGATGGGGAAATGACGTCACACGAAAACCGCCGACGTCACAGTGAGAGGGCCGGGTAGCCAGCAGAACAACACAATAGACTAACTATCGGGGGGCGCCATCTGGCGTGGTTAATTAAAGCAGCGCCATCTTGAAAGTGTTCGTGGTCATCTGCTCTTGGCCTTGGGAGCTGGTGATTTTGGGGGTTAAGATTTTTTTTTCTCCATAGGGTTTGTCTCAGACGACAAGAAGACCCCAGGATGTTAGGTAAGAGAGCTGATAGGATAGGTGGGAAGCTGTGTGCTTTGTCGTGCCCGAGAGTGTGTGTGACGTGTATACAGGAAGAATAATGTATGGATGAGTATACACGATGAATAATGTATGTATGTGTAAGTTTGCCAGGCCGAAGGGCTAGAATTCAAGTGGCCACTGGATCGGAAATGTAAGTGTGTAAGTGCGTACGTTGTGGAAAAGGGTAAGAGACAGAAAGGCGAGAGTATATTACATATGGGCCTCTTTGTCTTGCGAGTCACTACGTGTTTGTTCAACTGCCTGCCCCTATCGTTATGATGTGTCCAGAGGTATGAGCGGAAGTGCGCGGACAGACCGCCAAAAGCACCGGAACTGACGCGGAAACATGACGGGAGAAGTTGTACAAAGACAGACGGCAGGAAGAGCCTACTAAACAGGCTATGTCAAGACCAAAAACCTCATTACAAAACTCATCTCAGGTCAGAAGGTCTCAGCGCGGGTGCATCAACTCAACACTGTCTCGGCCCCTGTGACTGTCTGGGTATGTACAGGACTGGCATAGAGCAGGAGGACTGGACATCTTACCTCTGAGGGACCGTGCTGTCTTGTAACTGTGACTGTGAGCTCCTTACCCCTGAGGGACCGTGCACTCTTGTAACTGTGAGTGTGAGCTCCTGTCATATCATTGAGGAGCATTTGCATGGTTGGATGATGCGCGCATTCATGATATTATTACGATCTCCAAAGCCACTCTAAAATGTCAGTGTGGTTTCCCATCTATTTGATTTTCTCACCGGTCTTGTGTGTAAACATCGCCAACACCATATGCATTCAGTGGGACTTTAAAGATTTGTCGCGAACTTTCCTTCTCTCCATTTCACACGTAGATGAATAACGGAACAACTGCTGTTCTGCTTATACGGCATGAAACAAAACAATTCTTTTATTGAAGTGCAAGGGAGATTTCAAGTTACAATATCCTGATGTGGTTGCTCAGGGAAAGCTGGGTTTTAGAGAGAGGCGTGTGTGTGTGTGTGTGTGTGTGTGTGTGTGTGTG